AGATCACATCACTGCACAATCGGAATAAAGTCTGTAGTATTAACAAAAGCACGGTATTTTCCATAGTGAGGCGGGGTAGGGGTGGTGGAGACAAGCGGAAAGCCAAAGAAATATGAGTATAACAGAACAACTTAGAGGACGGCTTCGACCGGGACAGGACTCGGGCTGACGAACTGCGGACGGAACGGGGTGAGGAGTGACAGTGGGTGGGGTGGAGTGAACTCAGGTGATCCGAGTGCGGTCTGCGTGGCGGGTCGGACGGCAAGAGAACGAGGGGAGCAAAATACCAAAACGAGGGAACACAAAATTGAGAGCGATATGTTTTCCTGGTTTCGTTGGATCAGGTCAGGCCAGGTCCGCCACGAGGTCAGTTCGCAGTTGTGCGTATTTTCGGTCGTGCGAACACAATTATGTGTGCGTGTGTTTGTAAGTGTGCGCGTGTATGTATATAGATATATACTTGTGTCAATCAAAGTAGACGCCAAGATGGGGGCAACTGATTGAGCACAAATTGGGTGAATCAGAAACGAGCAAGCAGTGACCTAAATCGGAGACACAGCCGCAGGTAATCGATCGATCACAGAACCTAATGATGAGCTGAAAAGATAAAAGAGCGGATTGATCGAGTGGAGCGATTAGATACAACTTGGTGGATATATCAAACAAAATTCTTGATTGAAGTTACAATTATCACAGTGATAAAAAAAGCGCGTGGCACGTATTGATGGTTGGAATTCCTCATAGGTAACTATCTGCGTTTCATGACTAATTCATTCCAACTTCGATTCCGAGGACAACACGGGGACATTTCGAAAAACGGGTAACTGTCATGTGAACGCGATAAGGATAAGACAAAATGAATAAACATTTGACACAAACACAGCATTATCAAAAGAAGAAGAGAACGATCCAGTCCAGACAGGAGGATTGCAATGCCATCACTTTGGAAAATGAGTGAGCGGGTAAAAAAAATAATTGAGCATGAAAATATTGATTGACGGAGCGTAGTGACAAACACGGATGCTGAACGTTCGAACAGATTTGCTTTCCAGATGCGTAATAAAACACAATACGCGTGGTGATCCCCGGGTGAAACAAGACCGATCTGTACAACCGAGACTGTCCAGTTAACGGTTACCGAGACCTAACTAACGGGTCGACCTGGATTAGAGACTTATAGCGCCTGAACTACTATTTTTACCCATCCTGTTTCATTCCGATATTTGGAGAACCGAACTATCACTCAGAAGGATCTAATTGCTCTACGGAGAAGCCAAACAGGTTATGTACATAACTCTTCAAAACGGATTTCTTCGGGAAAAGTGTCCCTAGGGGTAGGAAGTGCCATTAACTCCACTGCTAGGAAAATGATGAAAATATCCGAGCGGTTACAAAATATGTCAACCGTTAATGGATCAGGATCGAAACCCAACGCTCGAGCACACTTCCGATTGCATGAACTTCGAACTTGATCTACCCGTGAAGGACAGTGTGGAATAATTTTCTATGCGCCATATCCCCACCCAATCCAAGGGGGTGGATATTCAGTACATTCGGCAATTTGCAGTAAAGAAAAAATGGAGCACTTCAAAAAGAAACATCAGTTCAGTTTCAATTTTTACAGCTATTCACCATTCACTTTCGTGCGCCAGTTTTGGTTGATGTCTTTTGGTGTCTTATTTGAATAAAAGAGCAGAAAGAAGATTGGAATGTAGAAAGTAAATTCAAGCAGATGTAGGATTTATATAGTGGTGTTAAGAGAATAATGAGTAGATGCACGAGCGCTACTGTTTGCGACATCCAGCCCTATCATTCAGTGTCTATAACCATCGGTGACCATGATCTCGGGGTTGCCATTCGGAGAGTTGAACGGGACCTATGTGACCTAGTCTCATGGTTAAAGTTTTCATGCCCTAATATCAGGTCTTCATTTGACTCAAAAAAAAACTTCAAACGGTTACTAAACGAAAACGAACCGCTGTGATAAAAAGCTAATGTGACAGGTTCCTTTCCAAGTCAGTATATATATGTATATGTATATATAAAATACCGGCTTGAGAACAAGCATGGTGCCAACGCCACAATAATAATAGCAATAACGCTGGGTGGGGGTACAGAGTACAGGGAAACAGACGTAACTGTCATGATAGAAGATTACGAATGAACGAAATACCATTTTGTGTGTTTGAAACTTTTTTGTTTGTTGTTTTTACGGGGCACGGGATTTCGACAGGCAGACCGTACAGTATTCGCGCCAATGACTCCTATTCCGGGCCATATCTCTCAGCGTCTCTAACCAACGACAACCCTCGTCCATTGGGCCCCAGCCTGGAAGGCGGGCTGCACCAACCGAAGCCAAAGCTGAAGCTAGTTTCTTCATACCCCCAAGCCATGTCATGGTCTGACCGCCGTGCCGCTTCTTCCAGCCTTGCCCGACACGTGCGAAGAGAGCACGGAAAGGTAGTCGATGGGCAGGCGGTGTAGAGCGATTACTTCTGTTAGGGAACGACTATGCACACTCAACACACGACGATGGACCTCGTCATTGCTCACTCCATGTTTCCACCAGACACGAACAATGCTTCGGAGACATCGGTGGTCGAATAAAGAAAGTCGATTAGCATCCTACGCTCGGAGAGCCCAGGACCCACAACCGTAAAGCAGAACGCTACGCACTGCGGCGATGTACACTCTTCCCTTGAGGGAAAATCGAATGTCATGGTGAGGCCATGGGTGTCGTAGGTTGGCGAAAGCTGCTTTAGCTTTCTCTATTCGTGATATGATCTCGTCCCCAACACTACCACCAGCTGCGATTAAGCTCCGGAGGTACTTAAAGCTGATCACCACATAGGGTGAGTGCAGGCACAGGCTCCTGTCAGTCTTGAACCAGCACTTTGCACTTTGATGGTGCACATACCATACCTGGATACTTCGATCGCCAAGCGGTTCAAAGCCTCTTGGACTGCCTGTGTGTTCTCACCCAGCAAGGTGATGTCATCGGACTATTCCATTGTTTGCTAGACCGGACCGGTATCGCTTAGGTCGCCAGTTTCTGTAATAAAACAGCAAGCTCATGGGACTACGATTTACTATCCTCTTTGCTGATCTCTGAAAACTAAGCGTGATCATATTAGGACATATAATGAGAAAAATGCCTTGTAGTGACACAAAACCAACCAATCCTCCACAACTGGATGTATGGGCACTTTAGTGCGGATGTGGCTTTACGAAACACACTGTATCCTCGTGGGAGTGCGGAGCAGAGTGAACAGACATAGACTTACCACTGAGTTGTGCACTGACGAACGAAGATCCGGACGGTGGAGTAAAGCAATCCCGCACAGAATCGCTCAGCGTATTCGACAGGATTGAGGAGTTTAGTTGACTGCCTGTGTACGAGGCTGAACCGGTGGTCGTGTTCTGATACACAGCCGCATTCGATCGCTGTGAGTGAATTGGGGCACTCATGACCGAGGATGAGGATGGGGGAGGCATTATACCACGACTGGAATATCCACTGGTATCTGCGGTCGAGCCGTTGCTCAGTGCGGTGCGTGAATTGCCCAACGGGGTGGGGTTCGATTTGAGTGAATTCGGGACAGTGCCCGGTTCGGGGATCCGGTGAATTGGTTGATAGGATGCGCCCAAAGTGCTGGCGCGCTGGCCCAATCGGACCAAATCAAACATTGTGATCTGGATGCAAGGGAGTGAAAAACAGAAGGGACAGCGTGATTGGGTGAACAGTTTGTAGAAATCGGAAATCTAAAAAGACGGTGTACGGAAAAATGAAATCAAAAAGTTAAACGTTACCAGGACAATAAGCCAGCACTCAAAATAGTTATATTTTGGCATTACAAACACATCAGTATATATATATATCTTTCAATAATTACCATATGAATGACTCCACAAAATTCCCCTGGAAGCACACGACTGGTTTCGTGGTTCTCGTCGCTCGTCAGGTATGCGTATCCGATAATCGGTTCTCAGTTTATTCATACACTTTTACCCAGGAAGTGTGTTCTCGTCACAAATTTAGGCATGAGCACTGAAGATATCTCTGTACTGAGAGTAAGGAAGTAACCAGCGCAACCGTGATAGGATGCTGACCGGCCGGATGCACAAGGTACGTGCAAGATGTGCAACTATTCCCAGTTTTTTTGTCCAAAATCTCTTCAGTGTATTTCACTGTATGATGGTGATGGTGACAACCACACGAAGGAGCTTGGTTACTGGTTGTAAAACCCGAAGTTTTGATGGTGATAATGATGAAGTAGTAGTAAATTGGTGAATCAATGCAATGATACCAACCGCGAAAAATTTCCACCGAATGCCATTTATGAAATATTTTGTAATAAGTAGGATGTGAATGACTGGGGGGAAATGATCCCGGTTTCGCGGTGGTTACCAGTTGTCAAATATGCGTACCCAGTAGTAGTCTATCATCTAGCCATTCACACATCTGAACCCCCGGGATGTGCAAATTTTCGTCACAAACCTATGATCAGCAACACGAGGCAGAGGACCGTGAGCGAGTCAAAGTGATGATCTTAAGAGTCGTTTTTTTCTTTAACCTGAGATCTAATCAGAGCTTGTGTGAATGTATGGGGTTTATTAGCCTTGGATTCTCAACGTCGCCCGAGAGACCCGAGCAGGAAATCGTCAGAATTTTAGTGTAAAATACCAGCCACGCAATCTGACATTCCGGTTTAGAGTAAGTAAACTTGGGACAACGGATTAGTCTGTGATCACAGTGGGAGTAGTTAAAATAAAAAAATGGAGGGACCCTCGACTATCGGGTTCAGGGAATGGTCTGTGATGTCAGAGTTTTGAGGCTGGCCCCCAGCCCGACTCACCTCCATCATGTGGAGTACGAAATCACGCTTCGTGACATGTGCTGTTCGTCAGTCAGCTGCTCAGGCATGTCATGCAATGGTGCACTCACCTTCACGCGATGAGTCACAACTATGTGTAGGTGAGTGATTACGGTTTTTACAGATTTACAAATGAACCGGGTAA